GTTTTGGAGCTGCTCCAGTCAAAGCAATGGGGATGTGAGTGGGAGGTGGAGAGGGGGAGGGAAGCTGGAGACCCGGTATGACATCACCTCTCCTGCCCCGGAGCCATGATGTAATGTATCAAAACAACCAAAAAGCTCAGGTGCTTGGCTGTGCAGCCCAGTCATTAATGTCTCCAACAATTGCCGGCGGGGGGAGGACCAGGGCATCATTACATCACCTCGGCAACGTGGTTGCGTCTGGGGAATATCAGACCCTCCTGCCCAGCCCCCCTTGTTTAAAGCTTTCATAGCAAGCTCATTTAAAGGAACAAACAAGCCAATTAATCATTTTTTTAGTGACTAATCACAAGCTCAAGGTAAAGGGAAAGAGGCAGGTGAGCATCGATCTTGGGAGATTGTCAGAGTGACATGAAAAATGCTACTTGAAACACCAGCAATGAACTTGATCTTAATTGCAGTGTGTGCTAAATGCACGAGGTGGGTGAGGGGCCTCATCTGCCATTTGTAAACCGCCTGTGAACCCAGTCAGGCTTCAATTGTTCCATGCATTTATAGGGAAAGGCCATGTGATTGTGTTGTGCCTGCTGATATGTGGCATTAGGGCACTAAAAAACTCATTACACTGCTGGATCAAACACCCCTGCATAGACATGACACACATGCACAGCCAAGTATTTCAATGGCGATAGCAGCATAAGGCACTCATAAATCAAGCATTTTCTTGGCACCAGCAAAGCAGGATCAAATTGTTCAGTATTACAGCAACATGTACGAAAAAAATAATGCAAGAGAAAAATGCCTTTCTTTGCCAAATCCCAGACATACATGCACAAAATCAAACCAACCAGCACTGCATGACTGAGCTGTAGTTACTCAAACTTTAATGTCATCACCTCATGATCTTTCTTTTGGGATAGTTGAAAGCAGATTGAAGACACATGGATAAAACAACATCACTGGTATTGCAGATGACTGAGCAATGGAGGATTTCACAGACATTTCTGTCCACTCAGCTGATCCCACAGTAAATCCTAGTTGTGGAGGAGTTGCCCACCCAAGAAGTTAAAAAAAACAAAACTTTATTAACCTGATTTACTGGCACACAGTGAATTGAAGGTTATCACCACAGACCACTAACCTCCTTTAATGCACACAAACTTATATTTTTTTATCAGAAAAAAAAATCAGAACAATAAATATGACAGGAGTTATTCTTTTTAACAGATTACTGTGTGTATGATGCATTGTCTTTAGGACACCCTTTAAGCTCTAGAAAAATCTGAAACAGACATCTTACTTAAGTACTACACCTGTTAATGTATACTTGTCTTTTTGTCTTAATTGATTTATTTGAACTAAAAAAGCAAAAAAATTAAACAAAAAACCCAACGACTTGCTGTTATGCTCATAAGATGACTAAAAAAAAACTCCATAGGATCAATCAGCCACAGACACCTTATACATCAGCACTTTGTGGAAGACACACAGTGGCCATTAGAGGATCAAACTCAACATACTTTGATTTATTGATCTGTCTCTAACCTTGTTCGGTGAATTTGTAACCCCACGTGTAGAGAGAACACAGCGCATTAATCCTTGATGCCAGTCCCATTACGCTGGCTCTAAATAACTTTGTTAGAACGCAAAAGATGATCTAATAAAGAGACTCCATTTTCATACTTGCTACAGCCCGAGGGATCATTTCATTTTTCAAGCTGTTATCACCTCCACGCTGCTCTGAAAATAATTTGACAGAAACTCAGGCAACCAGGCACATCTGAAAGATTACACTTGTAGGTTCACGGGGGCATAACATCTGTTGTGCCCGTGCACCTGCTACAAGGTGCATAAATAGGAAAAGTGAATCAAAAGACATGCTTTCAGAGAATAAGCAACAAAGTGAGATAGTTTCCAAATGAGTGACAGGTTGATCAGTGACTAGAGGTTTCCGGATCAAGTTACCGACTGACTGTAGAAGCGAATGAACTGGAAGTCGTTAGCACTGAATGCTGTCGGAGCGAGCAGAGTTATGTGGTTTTAGTGTCACAGTTACAACTGCATGTGTCGACTCATTCTTAATCAGTGGAAAGAAAAGGAAATCTTTAACCACAAAAGTTCAAATGCACCTGAAAAGCTAAAACTATACAACTAACAACTGATGGACACCATCAACTCATTATCAGTAAAATCCCAAATGCAGCATACAACGCTATTAGGATCAGCTAAATTCAAGATATTCATAGGGTCTTTATGTACCAATTAGCAAAAATATTGAAATCAATCAGTGTTCACCTGGATAGGATGGATCAGATGGATGGACTGGCATTCATGTGGATATTAACTTGACAGTCTATAACATCATAAAGCCTTTGCAGACCAAGCTCACACCCTGATGGCAATGACGTCAAACTTGTTTCTCCAGGGACAATGAATTCTGCCACACCACAAACACTGTTTAGAAATGAGTAGAAGGAACATGACCAAGACCAAGGTGTTGGCGCAGGGCTGTTAAACTCCCACTATCTTATCAAACATCCCTGCAAAATGCAGTGACTGGCACTGGCCAAACAAAGATGAAGCTGACAGGAATCCGATTAGCTTTGGAAGTATTTAGTCATAAGAAAAGACTATCAATATTCCTTCTATGGAGACCATCAATGTTTGCACATTTTTCCAAAACAATCCATCCAAGAGCAGTTAAGATATTTCAGTCTATACCAATATGATGGACAAACAATCTGGCTGACACTGACGTTAATTGGGCTGAGAATTTACGGTGAGATCTTCAGTAGACCTGCAAACCGTAGCAGATGATACAAATCACATTTGTACAACTACCTTCACTGTGAAAACTATCCTAACAATTTCAATCTGTTGATGAGTTAGAGGGAAGAGTGCACAATGACTAGTTAATAGAACCTTAATGAGACACATGGTCATTATGTCAGGATTTAAAACCGGCTTCGTACTTTAAATTGCTGGAAAGTGTGCAGAGTCAGATACAAATGGATTAATTGTTCGTATGGAATTTAATGCACCTTCTGAATTACCTTTTAGATTTCAACACTTCATTGCCTTTTACAAATTTACATAAGAAGATATTACCTTATGCAAGTTCTATTCTTCAATTTTATTGACAGATCATGGTTCATATCAGTATCAATTCAGTACCACTGACATTTCAATATGAGGAGGTTTAATAAAAGGCTGATTTCATGTCTGTATGCAGGTCTGTCATTTCAAACAGAGCCAAGAAAAATAACACTAAACCACAATCATCACATTCCCACTTTCTCAGCGTTTTGACAGCTTTAGGGAACTTTGAGAAATGAGTTGGTGAGATAGTTGTCATTTTACCCCTTATTTACCCGGTCACTACAGTAAACAAATCTAACATTTGTTTCTAATTGTTTGGAGAGATTTTGATCAAATTTAAGTGATAAACACCATTAAAAAGACGCCCAGAGTACCATGTTATCATCGCCGTGCAGGCTCATTACCATTGAAATAAATGTCATCTGTCAAGCCTTTTGAAAATACTCAACTTTCAAAAAAGGTCTTTGAATGTCAAAACTGACATGAAAAGCACATCAAATGTCAGTAAGCGTGTTCTAGCACACTGGTTGAGAAATGAGGCGCAGCCTGTAAATGAGTACCTGATTTTGTTCGCTTGCACGAGGCAGCGTTACAGCTGTATTATCAGGTCTGAACTCTCCCAAAATATCTGCTCTATTTCCATCAAAGCATAATGTTTGATATTTGGCTATTAATAACTATAAACACTGATTGTGTCTCTGTAGCCCATGCTGGGAAAAGAGGCGTGGGTGTTTCATTTCAAAGAAACAAAGGAAACTTAAGCTGCAGCTGTAAATGAAAATGCATATTTATTACATTACATATATACATGTATAACACTACAGAAAATAAAAGGGATGATCATTTCCTTCAGCAATGACCATAATCAAGAGACTGTTGAGATTTTAATTACTTTAAAATAAGCAGAACCTTTGGGGCTGAAGCGGTGTGCTGAATAATCAGCTGCTCAGAGAATAAACTGGAAACGAGGATTTATTATTTGTTTCAGGTTAAAACAATTATTTGCTAGTGTACCAAGTTTATTATATAACTCATAACATTATCTGTCTATATTTTTTAAAATTTGACAACATATATCTTCAATATTATGACTGATCTGTATATTTTATGGCCCAAATGATGAATGAATCAATAATTGATAAAGAACATAATTAAGTCAGGAAGGAGATAAGTGTAGGAAACTGTTTCTCTACTCCTTGGTGTAGTGCCTATACAATGCCTATTTCGACACCGGGGCTTTTGTGTCCCTGCACAGCTGAAGCGGAGCAGGTTGTCACAAAGGACAGCTCTAAAAATAGGAGCTCAGCTTTTCTGCGGCCGAAAGTGGCAGGTTTTGTTCTCTCTGCATTTATCAGCAAGTCTGACTGCTCAACACTTTGAGCCCTGATCTTTTCAACCTCTTTGTCATAATCCATCTCTGCTTAAACACTGCAGGACTCTGTGATGAAATACTGAGATATGGTATATACCCTTCCTCACCTATTGGTAATGCTATGTTTGTACACTTTGCGCTGCATAAACTGCTCTTTTAGAGGTTAGATAGGTCTCGAAATAGCTGTTTTACACTTTTCAAAGCCATCATGATCGAGCAATCCAGCAGCAATGGCAAGACCAACCAGAACCACACCCACACAGCAGGAATAATAATCCAAAATTTGATCATGCTGATGTTGTGATAATTCAATTGGAGTGTGTGTGGTGCAGACTTCACCCTTTATCAGCCTTCATGCCAGGAAGTCGATGTATTTATTAAGGAAGTCTACTACTACCTACAGATATGAGGGAAGAGACGCAGATAAAACCACAAGGAGAAGCACAAACACAGACATCTAGAACACACAGACAGAAGAAGAAACACACCCACACTAGGAAACAAGACATAACACTGTTAACAGATACGGTACCTGGGGTTTATTGCATTCCTGGAAGCCGGGTTAAGGAGAGCGCCGTGGAAAAAGGAGAAAAGATCAAAGTTATCAAACATGTCACTTGCTAGTCGAGTGAGAAAAAAAGTTGGTAAAAGCTCCACGGCTATCTATAAATCAACCATTTTCAAGTTTCTATTGTTCTGTTACTTGACAGTTTTTCTATATGATTAAATTCTATTATGACAAGAGTTCCCATGTTAAGGCAGATAACTTCAGCCAAAGTGTATCTCCTCTGAAAACAAAGATGATATCGACCTACATGGCAAAATCTTTCATTGTTCCAGGACTCGACAGCCCAATTCATCTTCAAGGTGAAAATATAACTTTTCTCTGTACTCTTAGACAAGGACTGTTATAAAGAACACACATTCACTTGCATCATTATTCTGCCTTGCACACACATACCTCAGCATGCCTGTAGACTACTGAACAGATCACTTCCAACTGCTGGGTTTTTTTCCTTACCACTGCAGGCTAATTTGGATCTCTAAGCAGACAATAAGACTCACTGGGTTTTCTTTAAAAATTGCATTTGCTAACCATGCAGCACTCAGTACAGCAGCTTATCTGTGAAGCAAGCTTAGCACAGGCAGGAATAGGACCACATTTTCCGAAAACCAATACAGGCATTCACTCTCTCACACAGAGTTAGGAGAGGTTGACAACACACTCATGTTTGTTCAATAAATATCAAGCTCCAGCTGATTACCTGGATTAGAACAGCTTTAGTATAAAGACCGGAAACGAGGATAAGGGCAACCTGGTGCAATAAAGCTACACATTGTTGTCCACACACTTGGGTTACTGTAAGGATTAAACAAGATGTGATGCAATAATGGATGAGCTTTAGGAGTGGTGGTAGGAGGACTTATTACATTTGAACAGTGCTAGCAGTTTCTCTTGTTGCCAGTGTTTACGCTAAACTATGCCAGGCTAAGCTAAGCTAACTGCTAGCTTGGTCCAGCCTCTTAAATATTGTAGAGGCACGAGTCTGTACACCAAAGTCACCAAAATACAATATTATGACCTATGAAGAAGACCTGAAAGAAAAAAAAAAAATTAAGTCAGATCAAAAAAACTTTTATTGTTGTTTCTTTTTTAAACCTGCCATCCACAAAGTGCACCGATGACATATGGGCCATCTGTAGAATCGCCCATATATCATTTTCTGAAGTGCTTCTGAAGATCAATACATCTCGGAGAAACTGATAACATCCTCACACAAACTTCTTCAGTGTGTAATGCAATATTTTTGTTCAACACCTTAAATTAAAGCTGAGAGTCGTCTGCCCTTCAACTGCAACTCGAATTTCTCACTTCACGTCTGCTGTGGTGCGGAAAATGTGAAAACTGCGTCACTGCTTAAATATTCCTGGGCCTCACTGTACATCTTAAAGCGGTCAGTGGATGAGTGAGCAATGTCACTGTCAAGGACACTCCAACAGAGCACATGATTGCTGATGGACACATTGGCTGTTTGGGATTAAACCTGCGACCTTCTGATTATAGGGCGGCCTTGCTAACCACCAGGGCTCCTTGGTGGAGAAAAGGAGTAAAAGGAGTATTGATTGCCTGCCTCCTGCTGCTTGTGTAATTATAGAACATCTGTTTGGGGCCTTGGATGTCCTGCTGGACACCAAGTAAACCCAGAGGAAGGAATATTATTCATCCACACAGAGAGTTTGGGGTGTCTTCAGGGGGTCTGAGGAGTTTTATTGGAGGGGGGGGGGGACAGATGGGAATATGTTTAAAATCTGTAATGGATAAAATCGGCAGCGTGGTAAACACAAAGCCTTAACAGGAGCCACATTGACATTTCATTTCAGAGTGAGTGACAGAATCTGCACAAAGACCTCTAGCAAGTGCCTGAGTGAGAGATCAGAGACACAATCTGTGTGTGCATGTCGGTATGTGTGTGCGTCAGGTCGACAGCAAAAATGGCTGTTGATATTAGCGGAAGAGATGGAGCGTGTGAGATTAAGTGCAAAATGGAGAGCGAATGAGAAATGGAGATTATGAGCATTTGCTACAGAGAATATATAAAGATCAAGTGTGTGCGTGTATATATGTGTGTGTGTGTGTGTGTGTGTTTTCATTCTGAACAAGGCACACAAGTGTCAACTCACTGCTCTGAGCACGCAGGAGGCATGTGTTGAATCCTAAACACGGCCCTCTTTCACTGCCCCGATTCATCTCTAGAAGCAGAAATGTGTTTTTATATATCTGCCTCCATCGATTTAAATAACAGAACTGTCTGCAGAGTGTCTAATGATGGAAACTTGAATTTTCAGAGTAGCTTTTCAGATGAGAACACTGACTGCATA